GCAGTGTGCAGTGACAACATGCAATGTGCAGTGACAGTGTGCAATGCACAATGCAATGCACAATGACAATGTGCAACATGCAATGGCAGCGCATGCTGCCAAACAGCAGCCAATGCACCTTAAGAAACGCAGGGAAAACCATCCCAGCTGGATGGCGCAGGGCCTGGCTGCCACGCTGGGACGAGGGCGGGTTGGGGACACTTGGGGACGCCGCTAACGCCACGTGCCTCTTGCAGAGTGGCCGGAGTTCGTGCGCACCTACGCGCCGTGGTGGGCCACGCACACGCTGGACTGGCTGCGCTTCGGGCGCAACGTGCTCGTGGTGCAYTTCGAGGACCTCAAGCGCGACCTGTTCGCGCAGCTGCAGCGCATGGTGGCYCTGCTGGGCGTCGCGGCGCGCGAGGACCGGCTGCTCTGCGTCGAGGGCCAGAAGGACGGCAACTTCAAGCGCTCGGGGCTGCGCAAGCTCGAGTACGACCCCTACACGCCCGAGATGCGCGCCCTCATCGGCGGCTACATCAAGACGGTGGACGCGGCTCTGCGGCTGCGCAACCTCTCCGGGGTGCCGGACGATTACTCGCCGAGGTGACGGGGACACCGGGGACACCACGGAAAGCCTCGGTCTGCCCGGMCTCCACCTGCCTCCCTCCGAGCCGGCTTGCTGCTCTGCACCCACGGGCCGCGCTTGGTTGTGGTGCATCCTCTGCATGAGAGGTGCAGGAGGAGGGAGCGTGTGGGGAGCGTGCACGGCACCTGGGTGCTGCACCAACCTCCCCTGCGTGAGAGGTGCAGGAGGGAGCTCACAGTGAGCATGCACGGCGCCCGCGTGCTGCATCAGCTCCCTGCATGAGAGGTGCAGGAGGGAGCTCACAGTGAGCATGCACGGTGCCCTGGTGCTGCATCAGCTCCCCTGCATGAGAGGTGCAGGAGCAGGGAGCTCATGGCAAGCGTGCACGGCACCCGCCCCGTGCATCAGCTCCGTGGGGCTGCCGTTGGAGCATCCCATGGCGGCTGCTGCTCTCCATCAGGAGCCCGTCCTCCAGGCCGTGCACTCCCCCGTCCCTGCGCCCCGTCCGGTGCCTGTAGCCGCCCCAGGGAGCACTGGGCACACTGGGGCTCAGCAGATGCCTGCAGTTCAGCCTTTGGCCTTGCAAAGCGTGGCTGTAGCCGCCGCACCAGCCCAGCCCACAGCACCCCGGGCTGCGGGGAGCACCCCCGCATGCGCTTTGTGCCGGGCACCAGCCCYGGCCCCGCTCCGGCCGCGGCGCCTCCCCGCGCGCTCCAACCCCGCTCCTACCCCGCATCGTGTCCAGCGGGCAGCGCCGGGAGCAGGAAACCAAAGGATGCTCCGTGCCTGCTCCGCTGCCCCCGGCTTCACCCRTCCCCGTGGATGTCAGTGCAAAAGCCATATGTTGCACGCCGCCTTTCCCAGCGCTTGCTGTTCGAGGATCGGCTTTTCCCTCTGGAACGGGCTAGAGACCCGTGCACCGCCAGGGAATCCCTCAGGATCCTCTTGCTTGTCTGCATTGGAGGGAGAGGAGCAAATGTCCCGGGAAAAGGGGCACTTAAATAAAATATATTTTTCTAGCACAAGCGAGGTAGCGCCGGGGCTCCTGCCCGCGGCTCCGCCGCCTGCCCCACGCAGGGGTGCCCACGGATTTTGTACGGAGCAGCTGGGATGTTTTTAGCTCCCATTGGGCYGGTCCTTGGAGGGGTTCCCGGAGCAGGCGGAGCCCTTCCCGGGRCAGGGAGCCCTGCGCGCTGCGGCGTCCTGGGGCTGCTCCCTCTGCCACGCGGAGCCTCGGGGCGAGCCGGCTATTAAACGCGAGGTTGTTGCTCTCCTGCCTCGGGGTTTATTCCCTTTCTCTCCCTCCATCGCCCTCCCACACGGAGGTTTCCTTCTGCTTTTCCTCTTGCGAGGCCTTTGCAGCAATAAATGCAGAGGCYGCGTGTGCTTTGCACCCCCCGCACTGGCCATAGTCATAAGGAAAAAGGGTTTAATATTGAACAGGCAAACAGYGACGAAGACGAGCTCAAATACTCAAATCCAGAGCAGTCCTTGTAGTGCTGGTTTTACCCAAAGCCGGAGCGCCAGCCCGGGGCAGCCCCGCTCGAGCGCACGCATCCCCGGAGCTGGTCCTGCCTGCACGGCCTCCGTGCTGCTCTTCCAGCCTTCCTCCATCCTCCTCCTCATGTGAGGGGGTACGGAGTGCAGGGCAGAGCAGCCTTCCTCCATCCTCCTCCTCATGTGAGGGCACACAGGGCGCAGGACACAGGGAGCACGGAGGGTCCGGATGCTGCCGGCGCCACCGGCCCCGCTCCCTCCATGGAGCTGCATCCCCTCGGTGACAATCACCCATCTGCCATTAATCCCTGCCTAATCTGCTGGTAATTTCCCTTACAATCCCCACTCCTTTATAATCTCCTAATTTCCCTTATAATCCCCTTCGTGCCCCTGCCGCGCCACCCTCCTATCCCGGCTCCCGGCTCCGTCTCAAACCTGCTCCGCAAACGGTCCCGCCGGGAACAGGGACGGAGGGAGCAGCAGGAGCCTGGGGATCTTCCAAGTGTTCCTGCTCCCTTGGGAGCTGAGACCCCAGCGCTGCCGCCTGTGCCGGGTTTGCAGCAAAGCCCAGGTCCTGGCATTGCACAAGCACCGGGAACAGCCTGGAAAAACAGCCGGGCCTCTATAAAATGGGAGCGATGGGGGCTCGGGGCGAGCGGGGCCGGCGCGGGGCCGCGCTAACGAGGTCATTGTGCTGATGAAGCTACGAGCGGCCGGAGCGATGCTGCAAATCCCGGCGGCTGCCRCGCTCCGGAGCGCTCCGCACGGCTCCGCGTCGGCGCCTGTCCCTGTCCGGCCTCGTTTCCCTGCACCGGGAACCCGTGAATCGCTGAGTGGACGCTTTCGGGGAGCGTGCCGGCTTGGGGTTTTTTTTGCATTTCTGCATTTTGGGCAAATAAACAAGCACGTGGGCTCTGCGGGCGCCAGGGCGGGCGCGCCGGGAGCCTCCGCGCCGCCGCGGGCCGTGTCCCCCGCACCCAATGCGGTCCCACTTGCGAATTATCTCCCAAATCGCCCACGCAGGGAATGGGATGGACCGGCACGTCGGGGAGCTGTGTCCCGCGCGCGGGGCTGGCGGGCGCTGCAGGCACCCGGCGCTGGCACCGGGGCATTTGTGGGCTCCGAGAGCGGAGGAGGCGGCGCGGGCAGGCGGGGGGCTCTGCGGCCGCTCCTCCTCCCGCTCCCCAGGACTGCAGAGGCATTCCCGCTTTTCCCCCGGCTCCTGGGTCTCCTGCAGCCACAGGTTCGTGCTCCTGCGTGCCCCTGGGCAGTGCAGCTCAGCGCGGTGCTTGCGCCTGCGCCGGGGCAGCAAACGTCTCCGGGAGCCGAGGGGTGACCCATCCCATGGGATATGCGCCGGGCGCTGCGTAGATTCTATAGGAACRTCTGGAAATTGTTGCTTGAGTCACTGGGAGAGCCCTTTTGCCATCACAAGCTAAAGCTAAGCACAGTTTGCTTCCTCCAGCAGCTCTCCCCAGCTCCTGCTAYGGGTTCCCACCCGCCTTCCCTTCCCTTCGGGACCATGGCCAGGGTCCCATGGCATCCGGGAGGAGTTCACAGCACCGTCGTCTCCTTCTCCGTCATGGAGGACATCTTGGAGAAGCTCCTGTGCACGATGCTGGAGTGGCCGGTCTCCTCGCTGAGGGCGTTCACTAGCCTGGAGAAGATGGCCACCTTGAACTTCTTGAAGTCCTGGCCCATGAAGACGTAGAGGACGGGGTTCATGCAGCTGTTGGAGGCGGCGAGCGCYGTGGTGATCGGGATGCCGATCTCGAACACGGAGAAGGGCACGCTGTGGGGCTCAGTCTCCAGCAGGTTCAGCAGGTGGTAGGGGCTCCAGCAGAGGAAGAAGGTGACTATGATGGTGACAATGATCTTGAAGGGCTTTTTGGACTTGGCAAGGCGGTTTCGGCGCAGGTTGAGGACGATGGCGACGTAGCAGAAGGTGATGATGGTTATGGGGAGGATGTACCCGGCAAGGAAGCGAGTGATGGTCACCGTTCTGTGTCTTGCCAGTGCCAGGGGCAGGTAAGACCTATTGCTGGAGAGGGAGAAGTTGCTGAAACAAATCACGGAGCTCGAGGCTTGCGCGGTGTCGCGGAAGATGAGCGAAGGGCAGCTCATCACGACGCCGATGGTCCAGATAATCAAGCAAACCAGATACGCGAGGTTGATGGAGCGATGGTTCTGAGACCACACCGGGAAAACCACTGACACGTAGCGATCGAAACTGATGGTGGTGAGCAGGAGGACACTGGTGTACATGTTGAGGATGAGGAGGAAGGAATTGAGCTTGCACATGACCTTCCCAAAGATCCAGTGGTACCTCATGGCAGTGTAAGCGATATTTATGGGCAGGAAGATGTTGAAGAGGAAGTCGGCCACGGCCAGGTTGAGAAACCAGATGGCGTTGACCGACTTCTTCATCTTCAGAGTTATGATTGCGATGACGAGGCCGTTCCCGAGCAAGCCCAGCACGCAGGACACGCTGTAAATGACGACGGAGAGGATCCTGGCGATGTCCTTGCCATCGTGGGCCGGGCTCGTCCTCAAGCTGTCCAGCTCGTCGTAGGTGTAATCTGCGTCGTCGTTGTAGTTGTGGAGGTACTCGGGGTAATCCGAGAAGTTTTGCAGGCCCATGGCTGGAGCGGGTCCGCGCCGCTGGCTCCTGCTGGGAAAACCAACACGGTAACATGTGGATTTCCCAGGTTTTGTGTCTGCTCCGCTCGCGCCGCGGCCGTTCCCACGCCGGAGAGCCGGGATTTGCAGCCCGGGCTGCAACGGCGGCTCCGAACCACAGGACGTGATTCAGAGGCCGKGGTCACGGCCAGGATGTGGCTGCAGCCTCATCCTGCAGAGCGGCTTTATCACCCACCGACCTCCCGGGGGAAAAAAATAATCTCACCTTCAACCTGTGCGGCGGGAGGGTTTTCGTCCCTGCTCCCGATATTCCTGCTGAAGGGCTCTATCYGCCGCTGGAAACCCTGGAGGAGCCAGAGGAGAGGCAGGTTTAGCATCCCAGGCAGCCAGGCGGAGGGAGCCAATCCCTAGGGAAGCACGGATCCAGAGGCTGAGGTTAAGGAGGGGCCTCCTCGGGGCCGGGGTGGGTTTGAGGAGCCCGGGCACCGGCGCTGGGCTGCAGCATCCTYGGCATCCTCAACTCCGCTCCCTGCTTTCCTGGCTGGAGAGCCCTCATTACGACTAATTAAACCCATAAATACGCGCGTGGTGCCGGMGATCCCGCACAGCCCTGTCGCTGATTTAATAGGTGCCTGTCGTGTTTTAAAATTCTAATTGTGCTAATGAGTCTGCGACACTCAGGAGCCCRAATCCAGCAGCCACTTGGAGCCCCTGGTTCAACAGCTCCCTGGACRCCCTTTGCAGGGGTTAAATCCCAGCTGGGGCAATTAGTCGAGCCTAGGCGAGCAGTGATGAGGCGCTTGGGAGCCCAGTGCTCCAGACCCGCTGCAGGATTGGGATGCATCCCAATGTGGTACCCTACCTGCATCCCTGCATCCCTGCCTGGTACCCTACCTGCATCCATGCATCCCTACATGGTACCCTACCTGCATCCCTACGTGGTACCCTACCTGCATCCCAGCATTCCCATGCAGTGCCCTGCCTGCATTTCTGTGTGGGACAGTATCTGCATCCCTGCTTCCCCATGCAGTATCCTACCTGCATCCCTGCTTCCCCATGCAGTATCCTACCCGCACCCCTGCTTCCCAACGCAGCACACTACCCGCATCCCTGCTTCCCYATGCAGTATCCTACCTGCATCCCACCTTCCCCATGYGGGATCCTACCTGCACCCCTGCATCCCCGTGCAGCCGGCCGGCATCGCCCGTGTGAGCCGGGGAAAGGAAAACAGCAGAAAATAACTGGAAAAGGCAGAGCCTTAAAAAGAGGCGGCTGTGCCCAGGGTGGGACGGAATAGCAGCGTGAGTCAGTGTTTGTCTGGGCAGAGCCGCCGCGGCGCGGGGCGCTCGGGCTCGCCTCCAGCCGGCTCGGGAACGCTCTCCGGCGG